GAACTCCTGAGCTAATTGGGAGCATGAGGGTAGGGGAGAGGGAGCTGCCAGAATGAGAGGAGCAGAAGAGGAGAGGAGAGGAGAAAATGGAGGAGCAGAAATATTGAGTTGGGGGGAACAATAGAGGAGAGCAGGATGAGAGATACCATATTAAAGGGAGCCATTTTAGGTCCAAGGAGAGATCTGGCACTAGGGAGATTTCCAGAGACCTACAAGGATGACACTAACTGACAATCTAGGCAATGGTGGAGAGGATAACCTAGATGCCCTTCCCCTATAATGAGACTGATGACTACTTTTTATGCCATCCTAGAGCCCTCATCCAATGGCTGATGGAAGCAGAGACAGATATTCACAGATACACACTGAGCTTAACTCTGGAACTTAGTTGCAGAGAGGGAGGAATGAAGATCAAAGGGGTCGGTACCAAGCTGGTGAAACCCACAGAAACAGCTGGCCTGAACAAGGGGGAGCACATTGACCCCAGACTCCTGTCTGGGAGGCCAGCACGGGACTGATCCAGACCCCTGAACATGGATGTCAATTAGGAGGCCTCTGCACTCTAGGGGGCCCCTGGTAGTGGATTAGTATTTTTCCCTGGTGTAAGAAGGGACTTTGAGAGCCCATCCCACATGAAGGAATGCATTCTTGGCCTGGACACATGGGGGAGGGCCTAGGCCCGGCCCAGGATGATGTGGCCCTGTTTGTCCTGGAACTTGCTCTGTAGATTAGGCTGGCCTCTAATACCTCTGTTCCTGAGTGCTGGGATTAAAGGTGTGCACCACCATGCCCAGTTACTTCTGGGAAAGTTTTAAACATAAAACAGTCTTTTCTTGGGGCTGAGGCTATAGTTTAGTGGAAGAGCATAATTGCCTAGCATGTGTGAGACCCTATGTTGAATGTTTAACATTGCAAAAGAAAACTAAAACCAACCTTTCCTTATATAAATACAGAGGAAAATACACAAAATTCTGTTTTCTCCCATTGTTTAGCCATTCAGTTAAATGTGGTCTATTTTGCCAAAGATCTGGTTAACTGACATTGGTAGAGATTACACCCAACCCATTCACCATTCAAGAATCTCCTATTGTTGACTGGATCAAACAGAAGATTTTAGAGGTAGGAAATATTCCAGGAAAGTAAGAGCTCTAATTCAGTGATGAAGGGTAGAAGACCTGGGGTGAGCATAGGCCTATCTAGAAGGATTTGCCATATCTGTGCCCTGGTTCCTTCTACATGACCTGTTTCAGAAGAGGGCAGCCTGGTGCTAGGCCCGCTCAGCAGGAGGCTATGCCAAGCACAGGCTTTACATGGGTAATCAAAGGAAGGACCTGGTGCTCAAGAAAGAGCAGGACCATCAGCATGCGGAGGATGCACAGAAGGGCACTCTTTGATCACAGCATTAGCTTCTCTCTTCTAATCTCAGCGGTTGCCATGGCACCAACACTCAGGGGAAAGAAAGCTGTAACTGTGAGTGGCAGATGTGTGTTGCTTGCTCCCTCATTGTTACAAAAGTTCAGTGACATTTTCTGACATCATGAAGTGACAGAGACAGTGGCAATCACACCATCAGAGGGTACTTACACTATTAGAGGACAATGACAGGTTACAGAATTTAGCTTCCACCTCTCTCCTTGTCAGCTTCTCAGTCTGATGAAGAAGAGAAAGGGAACAATGAAAGATACCTGGTTCCTGGGAGGCAGAGGCAGGCTTCTGTGAATTCAGGGTCAGTCTGGTCTACATAGTAAGACCCTGTCTCAGAAAACAAAACTAAAACCCCCCTAAAAACAAAACCAAAGAATGAACTACAATCCTCCCCTCCCTCCCCAGTCCCAGGCCATTGCCAATGCCCCATCTGCATTCTGCTGCACCCAGCATGCCAAACAGCAGCGGCACTTTGGGAGGAAGAAACAGTCTCTAGAGAACAGATACTAAAGCTGGAACTCTTGAAGCCAATCTGCCAGATGAATGAAAAGCTGGCCAAGGCTTTCAGGTAGTAAAAAGTAACAATAATGAATGCCACAATTCATTCTGCATTAACCACAGACTGTTCACACTGTTACCTTCCCCATATACTCATAATTAGAAATAATAAAAATAAACCCTAACCACAACTGACTCTGTCACATCAGAGCAAATGAAGAAAGGAGATGAAATTCTCAATGTAGTTTTATGGTTGCATGGATCAGAGAATAATCATGGGCTATTATTAGTGTCCTTCAATATCAAGTCAAAGTGAGTAATGCTCACCACAGCATCATACAGAATAACGTAGACCTGACTGAGTTTATCTTCTGGAATCCCACAGTGTAGGAGTATTGCCTTCAGTAACACTGTATGGTTCAAGTGAATGCTGTAATTTCTTTCCTAGGATATGGAGAAAAATGTGATTATTTTCATTATAGAAGCAATACAAGTATGTGGCCAAATCTGAAATCTAGTAATTAATGTATCATCCTAATGCCACAGAAGGGTTAAAGTGTAGCATCTTCTCCCCTGGTTTATTTTGCAGATCCATTATCTTCATAGTGTTATAGTTGAAGGATGAAACACTTTTATAATGTGTATAAAAAATAGGCTGGCTCATCTCAGCTAAGTTAAAGAGCCTAAAAAGAGCTCATGCAGATTGCAAAGCAAGGAGTCAGTTCAGTGGTAACTGACTTGCAAGCAGAGGATGGTTAATGGTTATCGTTACTTTTGGCCACAGCAGTCAGTTAATGAGTTCTAATAGGTGTGTTGGGACAACTGGAAACATGGCCTAGGGGCTCTCTACCTTGAATGAGCACACTGCTTTGAGACAAAAGTTCAAGTGTGCACATGGATGCCTCATGTCATGAGCTGTAAGGGTTGAGACTAAAAGGTGACCAAGTCAGCCAACCCTAAGGGGGATTCCTGGGAGAAAGGGTCTGAACCATGGCTGGATGAAGATTCTAACATGTGGACACCCATGACCAACAGTGGGGATGGCAGGGCCTGTGAGGAGAGCAGACAAGCAGTCCCTGTCACCGAGGGAAGAGATCTGGTGAAAAGGGACACAGGGTGCTGGGGAGTCCACAGATGAGATGAGGGAGTGAGCACTGAGGGTTCCGAACAGGGTAGGAATGCATGGAGCATCTTAGGAAGCTTAGCCTCATTCTTGAATTTTGCAAGAATGGGTAGAGAAACAATATTTTCCTACCCCCAACAAACCAGTTCTGTCAGGGTAGAGGTGAGAGCCTAAGATGAAGCTGAAATCATCACCCTCAAACCCTTTGCAGTTACTTTAGTAAAGCTGTGATTTGCTCCAGCACCAAGCAAGAGAAGACAGCAGGCGTGGACTGCCCACCACACTTATGGAAGGAGGCTGTGGTGCCAGTCAACACATTAAAATGCAGAAAGGAACCTGAAGTGTGGGAAACTCCTGGATGATTTCACAGATAGTGTAGATAGTTTCGGCAGTGGGCAGAGAGCTGTTGGTGGTAGAAGTGACGATATCAAATGCACATTCCAGGAGTTCTTTGGGATGAAACCGGTCTAACTTACGAGGTCTGAACACCCGTTCTATGCAGTATCTGGAGGAAGAAACAGGCTTTCTTAGGTCGCTACTTATTGGAAACAAATATGTATGAGGAATTGCTGAGCAAAAGAAATGAAGATAAAAAAAAAAATCCGTGTTTACTCAACGGTTCAAAGTCAGATTTATACCTGGCCAGTTTTGCCTCATAACCCATACCCCAGTTCCCTGAACTGTTCAATGTTTTTGTTTTTTGTCTGAAAGAGAAAAGAAGTTATACCAATTTTACCTTGAGTGATGGCTTTCTACACAGAACCACCCACACTTTATTTATGGCTGACTGGTAATTGCGGACTTCTAGCACTTCCACAGCTGTAGTTTCATCTGAAGAAAGGAGCTGTGAAGTGGTGTTCCTCACTGCCAGCAATTCAGCTCAAACTAATGAAGACCTCAGAGTTTGACCCCTGCAGTATCAGAGTGGGCACAGAATCCGTCGTTGCTGCCAAGTGCCCACGTCTCAGCACTGGATGCCTGTGCTGTTACCTCATCCTCCACAAGCAGCTTCTGTAACATTACCTGCACAAGCTTTCCGAGGCCACTGGCCATTTGTCTCTCCAATTAAACCTTAAAAGGGGCCACTAAGATCAAGAACAGCCAGATGTTTTCCCCCAGGCAACCATTTAAACACCATTAGTTATGTTGCCTGGGGACACACAGAAAGCACAGAATAATGGCAGGCCTGTCAGGTGACCTAACCACTTCATGTCTTCAGAAGATAGGATGTCTGGTAAAAGTCTAGTCATCTGAGGACAAAGCGGCTCTGGGGATGGGCGCCCTGACACATGCTACTCAATACTTTAACCCTAGAATTCTTTACTGTGTGAAAGTTTCAGAATAAAAAACACGCAGGGGAGTAAAGTGTCTTACCGTTTTAAATTCAGTATGTTATTTCTTGCCACGTATCTTGCAAAAGGGACCTGAAAGAAGAAAGTTTTAAAGACTTTTAAAGTTGTCAAGAGGTGCCAGATGAATTATCTTAGTTTTAAAAGCAGCTCTACTGGGGCAGAACTCATACATTGTTTTAAGGTGTACAACTCTGGGGTTTTGGGGTAGTCACCCGCTTAGCAGTGAGGCATCTACAATAGGAGCTCCCTAAGACTGCTGCCTAGTGATCTTCCTGCCAGCACACTCTATGATGTCAGCACCCTAACCACTAACTGACACCTGATGGTCCCTGAGAGCATTCCCTCTGACATGGTCATTGAGTACTTCAGCAGCTGTAGACTCTAATGCTAGGCTAGTCACTGTGGCATTTCTGAAGTCTGAGAAAAATTCTTCTTCTCCTTCTCTTTCTTCTTCGTTTTTGAAAATATAGTCAACATGCCTTTAATCCCAGCACTTGGGAGGCAGAGGTAGGCAGATTTCTACAAGTTCAAGGCCAGCCTGGTCTACAGAATGAGTTCCAGGACAGACTTCAAAGGTATAAAGAAATCTTGTCTCAAACACACACACACACACACGTCACATTTTTGGCTACCTATGAATTTTAAGATGTAGTTTTGGTGCTGGGGAGATGGCTTAGTGGGTAAAAGGGTTTGCCATCTGTGCTTTTATGTTAACTGATACAAGTTAGAGTCACCTGGGAAAAAGGAATATCATTTGAGGAAATCCTTCCATAAGACTGGCCCACAGATAAGTATATGGGCCATTTTATTGATTGATGATTGATATTTGAGGGTCCAACCCATTGTGGGTAATGCTCCCAGGAGCTGGTGGTGGTCCTGGGTACAATAAGAAAGCAGGCTGAGCAAGCTACCAGGAGAAACCAGTAAGCAGTATTCCTCCATGGCCTCTGCATCAGCTCCTGCCTCCAGGTTCCTGCCCTGACTTCCTTTCATGATAGACTGTGATGTAGATGTGTAAGATGAAATAAACCCTTTCCTCCTTAAGCTGCTTCTGGTCATGTTGTTTTATCAAAGCAATAGAAACCCCAAGACAACCATGTAAGCTTACTGGCATGACCTGGGATTGGATCCGAAAATTCATGGTAGAAGAAAACCAATTCCTAGAAGTTGTTCTCTGGCCTCCACATATGCACATTGCTACACGTTTTCTTTCTATCTCTCATACTCTAATACAGTTTTTTAAAATTCTCATTATCATAGTAAGAATGAGTACTATCTTTTAGGGCGAATCTCCCTAGTTCCCTATTAGTCTTAGAGGAAATGCTTATGAACCACCCACAATTAATCAAACTGCTGTTACACTGCCCAAAGACATGTGACCGTGTTCCTAGTGGCCACACTTGCAAACAATGGCCTCTCTTCTTTCTTGCCTCTGGGTACCAGTTTCTGGAAAGGCAAGTTAACTCTGCTCTTACCAATCCTCTAGGAACCAGAAGTCAGTTTTAAGCACAGCTATGTAACCACAGCACTTCTACTCTTTAACAGAGCCCAAATCATGACAGGCAGTTTATTCACCTCTATCTAAAGATAATCCCAAGATGCTTACTTACTTAAAGGAGAAACAGAAGCCAAAAACACAGACGGAAGGGCTGGGAGTGATGTTTCATATGACTGAGGCCCCGAGCGAGCTCTACTCCACGTCCCATGAATATGTTCATAAGGCCTCTCCTCCCTCGCTTCCCCTCCCCACATACACATAATAATTTGGAAGGAATTTCCTTTTACATCATAAGGACAAAAGTTGTTTTTGCCATAAGTCATAAAAAATAGTCAAAAAAGGAAGGGGAAAAAAAAGTGGTAGTTGTATTCCTCCTTCTAGGAAAGTAGATAGGAGATTTGAGGTCCTTCTTGACACCTTACTTTTTGGAGATGCCAAGACGGGCTGGTGTGCATGGTGACCCACACATGTGTAAGAATGTGCACATCTCACATACATGCCAATTGCATGTGATATTCACAGCACCTCATAAACACACAAGTTCCTTTCAGTTTTAGAAACCTTTATAACAAAAGTAAGACTTTAGAGTTCTTTGGAACTTAGATCTTAAACTATCAATAAATTTTGGACACTTTTACAGCTATAGTACTATATATAAACATATATGTATTTAACCTTACATATATGAATATTTGATAGATAGACAAGTTTAGTTCTAATTTTTTTTAGTTCTAATTTTTTAATAACTTTATTTTACATGTATGTGTGTGTCACTGGGTATACACACAGGTATTATGTGCATGCATGTGCTTGCAGGGGTCAGAAGAGGGTGGCCGAGTTACAGGCAGTTGTGAACCATTCCATGTGGATACTGGGTGCTGAATCTGGGTCTCTGGAAAGAGCAGTAAGTGCTCCTAACCCAAGCCGTCTCTCCAGCCCCTCTACTTTGTCTAAGATGAGTCTCTTAGACAAAGACTTGTAATTCTCCTGCTTTAATCTCCAAGTGCTGGGATTACAGGTGTAGGCCACCATGCCCAGCTAAATCTTTTAAATAGCTTAATATTCCATAATATCGATATCATACATTTAACCATTCTCCTATAGACAAACATGATAGGTTTCAATATTTTGATATAGTAACATAAACATCCTTTTAATATTCATATACCCTGTTATTAAAAAAAAACCCTTAAAGTATATTGCCATTTCATAGAATATGGAAAGTGTATCAGAAATTTAAAAATTTGGGGGGCTCAGTGGTTAAGAGCACTTCCTGCTCTTCTAGAGAGCCTGAGTTCTGTTCTCAGCACCCACGATGGATTGCTCACAATTGCTTGTGACTCCAGGTTCAGGGGATCTAACGCCCTCTTCTGGCCTCTGTAGGCATCTGCACACATATGGCAAACAGTTATACACACACCTAAATATTTTTAAAATGTTTTATTAACTTTCATCACTTTTCTAAAGACTTAGCAATTAATATTCTCATCAGCAATTTACCTACATTTTTGCAATCTGCCAAGTGAAGCTAAGCATGTATGTATGCATAGCCACATCTGTCTTGGCAAGTCCTCAACACCCTTTGGAAGTTTATCAATGCTGTTCATTTTCTGTCTATGTATTGACTGGTTATATGCTTTCTTTATGTCTCTATTTTTAATTTTAAAAATGTTTTGGTACCGAGGATCCAACCCAGGGCATTGCACATGCTAAGTGCGCACACCCTCTTTCTTGTTTTTATTTGTAAGGGCCTTCTGTACATCAGGGATGAAACCTTGTTTGTCATACTAACCGCACATTTTCCTCGTGTCTACAGTGCAGTTACCAGTGGGTTTGTTAGCAGTCAAGGCAGTAGGAGCGAACGACTAAGGCTGCTGCTGGTTATGGGAGCCCTGGGGATCACATGCAAGAGAACACCGGCAAAACTCAGCACACCCAATTAGTTGTTGCAAACATTAATTGCTCTAAATAGTAACATTTTGGGATTTTACTGAAGATCTAGCTAGGAAGTAAACAATACCTACACTCATTTGTCTGAGTTGAGGTTAGTTTGCTATAGGGTTACTCTGTGGACCTTAGCACCTGAAATACAGGATCAAACATTACTGAACTCTAACATGCTTTTACTCTGATTATTCTTTTCCTTAAGGTGATACCCCAAATATAAGCCTGCAGTGGGGGTGTCTAGAAGGGGTAATTCTTTAACAGAGCAGACATGGCGCCCAGGCTGCCAGAGGAGCATCCCAGCTCACCCGCAGGTCGAAAGGAAGCATCACCAGCATGCCACTGTGGTCCATGAACACAGCGGCTTCATTGTGCTCATAGATTTGCTTATTTCGGGGAAGCAGCAGCGGGGTAGACAGCTGGACAGCTCCTACACCAAAATACAGAGAAAGCAACTGAACCTCGGGTTCCCATGCTTCCTAGGAAGCAACTCAAAATGCACACAAACCCACAGGTGGGTGGCCTGCCCCCGGGATAACTGAAAGCCATCACCAGTTTTCCCTCAGTTTTCCAAATGGAGAACTGAACTAGGGCTAAGTTTGCCAGTTTGGTCAGATTTCAGACTCCACGAGTCAACTGTATTTTAGTAGTAAGGCTGGAACAGTCAAACCAGTTTCTCCTCAACAAGCTCAGCTATAAAAATAAATAAACTTCACATGTCAACTGCTTATAACTGGGTTTCAATATACTGTTATACTGAAATTCACCAGTAGTAGTCTCTTCCTTTCCTTGAGACAGGGCCTCACTATATTGCCTCAGCCAGTCTCAAACTCATGATCCTCTTGCTTGACCCTGAGTGTTGAGATTACAGGTGTGTACACTGATAGCCAGCCTTCCTTTCTCTTCTTTTGTCTGTGTATAGCCATGTGGTATGTTTGTGCTGGTATATGCACACATGCATGGGTTTGTACATGATGTGTGCTCTTATGCTAGACCTTGATGTTAGGGGTCTTCCTCAATTGCTCTCCACTTCCTTGTGAGCAAGGCCTCTCACTGGAGCTTACTGACTGAGTTGGCTGTGTGGCCACTGAGCTACAGGAATCCTCCTGTCTCTGTGGCCCCTGCCCTAACGCTGGGGTTACAGATGCATTCTGTCATATCTGGATTTTTCCCGGGGAAGCTGAGGACTGAACTTGGGTCCTCACGCTTGTATGCAGGCACTTTACTGGCTGAGCCATTTCTTCAGCCCCCAGAAGTACTTTCTAATGATTTTTAGAAAACTGTTTCAGAAGGAGTGGTTTTTAGAAAAGGACATACCATGCCTTTTGAAGATGCGGATGATGGTTTCACATACAAGCTGCTGAATCTTGGCTGTACGAATCAAGAAGTTGCCCTAGAATGAGATCAATTAAAATGTCATCACCAAGCCTAATCCAAGAGTTCCACTAAAATGGTAGTCTGTGGCTTGCATTTGGCTCTGTGCAGGGTCACAGCAGAGGTCTCAAGCAAGGGTTTCTTTGAACATATTTAGAGGAGAGGCATGGATATATTTGCTTCAGAGATTTCCTTTTCATTCCATTGTATCGGAGTAATTGTAGAAACAAAAAATAAACAAAAAGACAAAATAAAGTTACCTGTAGTCTTACAAAGAGAGCTTTCTAATATTAGACACTCCTCTCTTTATCTGAGACAGGGTCTCACTGTGTTACCCATGCTAGCCTGGTCACTATCCTCTTCAGCTTCCCTAGGAGTTACAGGTGTGTATGAGCACATACATTTAAATCATACTGTTTCCTCTACTATTCTATCTTCTAAAATTATCCCACAGGTTAACTGTATAGAAATACATGGCAAAGATAGCCAATATTGACTATCTATTCACCCAGCTTTTTAAACATTTCCCTAAATTGTTTCAGGTTCTTCAGTTTTTTATTTTTATTTTTTAGAAATGAAATAATAGGGCTAGAGAGATGGCTCAGAGGTTAAGAGCACTGACTGCTCTTCTAGAGGCCCTGGTAGGTTCAATTCCCAGCAACCACATGGTGGCTCACAACCATCTGTAATGAGATCAGGTGCCTTCTTCTGGCATGCAGGCAGAACAGCATATATATTAATAAACAAATCTCAAAAAATGAATGAAGGGTCCAGGAATATAGAAATGCAAAATTGTAAGCCCAAACATTTTGGAAAAGCTGGCAGCCATTGTTAGCCTTCAACCACCTCTTTCTGCCTTAAGAGCAAACATCCCAGCAGCCACTATGTACAGAGGAAACTTTTAACAATGGTCTCCCGCCTCCCAGCTTCATAACAGACAAAGGTTGGCTTCTAACTACTGCCTCTATGGGACCCTCTGCTTGTAGTCCCTTAATTTTTAACTGTCCTCTTATGTGACTCTATTCTCTGCCTTGCATTCTTTCAGGGACAGTGAAAAATGGCTGTTATCATCCACAGGCTTTCACAAACATTCTAAGTTAGCGTCCTAACATCCTATAAGCAAAAGTTGTAAAACTTAAAATGTAATGTGACTTTAAGCCTGACCTCAAGGTTGTAAAAAGCTCTTTGACCCACATCTGGGTGCTTGATTTTACTGTAAGAAGAGGCTCCAAACAAGCCCCATATTGCCCCAGTTTCAGAAGCCTGAACTCTGGCTGTGGACACAGCTATAGCTGATAAGCTTCTGTGTCCTGCAGAAATTTTTTTTCTTTTCCTGGAATAAAGCTTAGACAAAGTTTAATAGACTTTGGTGGTCTGTCCCCCATCACTGCTCGACCCCGGACCCAAGATGAAATAATAAAGGCTCCTAAAATTGGCATCTTTACTACTCTTCAGAAACAACCTGGAAGCTTTAAAACTTGCAATGCTTCACAGCTGAAGACCCTCAGCACCAGAGCTGCTGGGAGCCAGGGAACCTTGTATCAGGACATCCTGGACCATGTACCCATGCTGAAGCCACCCTGTTACCTCACATGGATCTCACTGTGTGGATGTCTAATTGGGCATCCAGGATGGGCTCTGACTCAGTCTCTTGGGTGGACACAGTGTGAAGGGTCAAGAATCAAGTAAGTGATTACCAGCGTGGCTCTTCCCTCAACTATGCACAGCAGTCACACTTTTTGCATGTGCTTTTGAGGCTTTTTGGAACTTAAGCCAAGAACTTACAGTAGAGGAACAGCTGGTTAAACACAGTATATCACAAAGTAAAACCAAAACCAAACCAAAAGTGGGATGGCTTAGCAGGTGAAGGCACTTATTGCTTAGTCTGATAGTTTGGGTTCTGTCCCTGAGTCACACATGGTGTACCCCGCCCCCATAAATAAATGCAATTAAAAAAAACAAAACCTAAAAAGAAATTAAGATATGAAGATTAGAGAAGCATTTAGGGGGAGGGAGTTTGGGGTGGGAGGAGGGATCAGAATGTATCCTAGATATACATAAAGACTGTCAAAGAGCAAATTAAAAACGGAACCATCCAGAGAAATACGCCATTGCAAGGTCTGGCTACCTTCAGGATGTCACTGTCGTAGGTGTAGTCGATGGCAGGCGAGATGTGCTGGGAGAAGATTTGGCCCATCATGGTGCGGTAGGCCTTCCCGTCTATGTTGGCCAGGGTGTGGTGCAGCACTTCATGCAGCTCCGACTCCTCCATCTGTGGCGGGGGCAGCAGCTCACTCTTGAGCAGCTCTGTGGCTGTCGGCCGTTTTGCTGGATCATGGTTCAACAGCCAGGAGATGACAGATTTCTGCAGGGTAACAGGCACATAGCTGGTGAGGACACAGCAGGTGAGGCTCAAGAATCTTCCCAACAGGCAGTCACACAGGGCACTTCTTACAAGAGCTCTGATTGTGCCATTCATACCTCATTATGACCACAGACTTGCGGGTAAACTCAACTGTTCTCTTTCTCGAAAGGGAGAGACCCTTTTTATATCTCTTGTTACCAACAGTCAAAAACATCCGTAACTCAGCAAACCATACACTAGCTGAGCTTAATTCTTATAAAAAAGAGATATGGAGAAAACATCAAAGAGCTGATGCCTAATGTCAGCACTTAGCACACAGCCCATGGCAGCTAGCAACCGTGCTGCTCATTACACTTGTCTTTGCTCTCCTATGTTCTTTAATGATCCCATTCCCTGGAATTCTCCTGCTTCATGTTGCTTGTTATACCTCTGTAGTACAGAACCCTCTGACGCAACATAAAGCTTTGAAAGGTTCCCTAAGGATTCTCTTTTTCTTTTTAGACAGGGTCACTATATAGCCTGCCTGGCCTGGAACTTACTACATAGACCATAGACCATGCTTAAGACTCAAAGATATCCACCTGCCTATGTCTGCCGAATGCTGGGATTAAAGACATGCCACCACACTTCCCTCTGTGATTCTTAATCCTGATATAAATCCTTAGAGCAAGAATTTGCAAAAAATGTTAGAATATTTGAGAACAGAAAATTTCAATTTTTAGATGGATTTTATTAAACATCTCTAATGTATCTTCTGGTGGGGGTGGTGGAAGCAGAGGCAGGTGGATCCTTGTGAGTTCAAGGCCAGCCTGTTCTACATAGTAAGTTTCAGGACATCCAGGGCTATGTAGAGAGACTCTGTCTATGAAGTGAGTTATGACACAGGATATGACTAGTTCAAATGAAAAACAGCAGCTAAACAAAATAAGTAGAACAGGTAACGGTCCATTGTCTAATGGCTTTTCACTAATTAAACAGAGGGGCTCAAATTAACCCCACAGCCTTAAACAGTGTCATGCTAAACAACAATGAAGTACAGAGGCTCAAGTAAACAGAAATAAAAAGATATTATCAGTCCCTATCTTAAAGTCTTAGAGATGTGCAGTGGTGTGGCCATGTAGCCGAAATAAGAAGTTGCAAATATTGACATGCTTTGTTTATGCTCCTGGTCTCAACACTGATCTTTTAAATAAGAGATTTTTTGCCCCAACTATCATTGTCAATAAAAGTCAGTATAGGGAAATGTCCCTATGATGAGCATCAGTGAGTGAAGGTTTCACCACAGTGAACAACTATCAGCAAGAAGAAAGGAACACCAGATACAGCTCACTAGTAACTCTCTATTAGCTGGGTTCAGTGATAGTCGGAGACAATCACACACACACACTCGGATAGTTATGGTGTATGTGAGAAATTATCTTGCTTTGAAATACTGTAACATCAGCTGCAGAGATAGCTCAGTGGTGGAGCACAAGCCTAACATGTGTGTGGGGGGGAGGGGGACGGGACTGGGTTTGATCTCCTAGTACTGTAAAAGCAAACAATCCCCAAACCTGTAACAGCAGATCACCTGGTGAGTGCTATCCTTCCTGCAAAACCCGAATCACTTCAGACTGAGATTATAATTTAATTTTTCCCTTCAGGTCCTAAATTTTATCTAAAGCAACTTGCTGTAGAAGCTTTCCTTCCCCAACTCCCACAGCTAGGCCAATGTTCCAAGTAACATTTCAAAGGCACAATTAAGCACACAAAAGAACTCTTAAGTTTGTTAATTTGCTCTGTCAGACCTTGACCTTTTTATAGTGCATCTCAAGTCTAGTAACATTTTAAGAGCTTTGTCTTTTGGTATTTTCCCCCACATTGTTCTTAGAACACAAGAGAAAGAGTGGCAGGAGATTACTAATTGAAAATGAAGAAAACAGTAATTAAAACCCAAGACTGGAAGACGCAGCAATGAAAGCATCAGGGAATTACCTGCTTTGTATGCTCTCCATCATCAAAGTCCTCCGGGAACTTGGGCGATGTGGGCTGAAAGAGTGTTATATTCAAATCAGCAAAGGCTTGGCAGACTGCCACAGGCTACGCTTCTGTTCATCACATTAAGATAACTAAAGAGCACACTGAAATTTGCTAACACCTTCCCCACGCCCTGTGCCCACTCTTCCAGTACACAGTTCAGACTTCACCCAAATGACTGCCTAGGTTGTGGAAATCACCCCCTTAGGTTTAAATGGGAGAGATTTAAGTGAGAGACTTTTGCCCTGACTATCATTGTGGATAAAAGTCAGTATAAGGAGCAAATTAAATTTAAGGGCTTCTTAGAAACACAAATTAGTTTAATGAGACACATAATGAAAAAAGGCAAAATTCTACCAAATCATCAACCTAACTTAAGAGAAGAACTTGGTAGGTGGATCAAGGGCAGCCTCAGATACACAGCCAAGTTTGAGGCCAGCTTAGATTACATGGGGCCCTGCCTCAAAAAAAAAAAAAAAAAAAAAAAAAAAAAAAAAAAAAAAAAGAAAAAAAGAAAAGATTCACACACTGAATAGACAAATTTAGTTAGTACCAATCCTGCTCATTACCCCAAATCCTCACTTTTCTGATACACAGGACCTCAATTACAAGATTAACTTGATAGTTTAGATATTCTTGAAATGAAGGAACACATAATTTCAGATTACAGACAGGTACTTCCTCAAGGACACCCTCATCTAAGAGCATCCCTGCTATGGTGAACAGCAGAATTACCCTGGTTCACCGACACCCCTCATGCTACCCACATGCTGCTGTCAAAATAATTAATTTAACTACTGTCCAAAGTATCCATAGGTTTTTAAAATCCACCAACACGACACCTTCCCCACGTCCGTGCTCACTCTTCCAGTACACAGTCTATTAGCATAGACTTCAGGAAAAAGACTGCCTAGGTTGTGGAAATCACCTCCCCTTAAGTTTAAATGAGAAATAATTTAAATGCATCTCAGTGTATGCGATACTGATTTATTTGTTGGCTAGTTATCTATTATGGTGCTGTGACAGGATCTTGCTGCATAGTCCAGGCTGGCCTTGAGGCGGGATTGTAGGCTTGCACCACCATACTGGGCTTGCTGTGTGTGGTTTCATTTGCCGCCTTTGCTCCCCAAGGATGAGAAAGGCTCCCCAAATTTGTGGCTCATAAATTACTGAGTCTAAACTGTTCAGGCTTCACTCTCTACTTTCTTTTTTATTTTTTGGATTTTTTTGAGACAGGGTTTCTCTGTAGCTTATGAGCCTGTTCTGGAACTCGCTCTGTAGACCAGGCTGGCATCAAACTCACAGAGATTCACCTGCCTCTGCCTCCTCAGTGCTGAGATTAAAGACATGCACTTTCTTAATGCCCTTTTGCCATGGGCATTCTTGAGCTGACTCCCTGTAACACTGGTCTCTCTGAGCGCAAACAGCAACAGAGGCAAGGGTTAATCTCAAAAACATGAGTAGAAATTCCATTGGGAGAAAACAGCTCAAATGACGGATATTTTTGAGAGCCATGTGTTGTTTGCCAGGATCGGCAAATACTCTACCACACAGACTTAACTCCAGACTTCAGATCCATCTTGACTTCTGGTCAATATGATCTTTATGTTTTTTTGGGGGGAGGACAGGAGATAAGGTCTCAAGTCTCATATAGCCTAGCCTGGCTTGCTTCAAACAAAACTGTTTTTCATCACTGGGCACGTTGACAGACGTGGGTTTTTCTCTTACTAAAAGACAGAGCAACAGTCTATGCTGACAATCTCTAGTTATCAAAACTGCTGTGTTAACTCCTTAAATGAGGTGACTCGCCTTGTTCTGAAGAGTTGTCACTGAAAATGACAGCTGATTATCATACCATCTACCAGCCAGTGACAGTCATTGAAATGACAGGAGGCAGCCAGGCTTGGTGTCACACACCAGCAATCCCAGCATGCAGAAGGTTCAGACAGGGGTACCTCATGCTTCAGGCCAGCCTGGCTACAGACTAAGACCAGCTTTTAACAAAATCAACAACTGATAGCCTCTTCTATGTTATAAATACCAGGAGAAAATCCTGCTTTGAGCTCTGAGGATCAGGAAATTTACACATCAAACATATCTGACACCCACATCTCGAAGCTGGTTGAGAACGAAAATTCTTTCCGAGGCTGTCACCATGGGGTGATAGGACATCTCAAAGAAGATAATTCCCAGGCTGAAGAGATCTACTTTCTGTGGGGAAAACAGAATTGCCTTTAGAGAGCTCTGATATCAAAGTGAATTTCCAGGAGCTAGGGGATTTGCTCTGGAATGAAGTAAAAGAAATCTGATGATCTGTGCTAAAACAAGTCTTTAGACCTATAATTTTAAAAACAAATCATCAAAAATTTCACTCAGATACAGTTGTCACAGTCAAGCTAATATGTCCATCTATGTAATAGCTACTCCCTGTAAGAACACTTGAGAACTAGTCTCTTGCAGTGTTTGAAATTATCATACATTATTATAATCGGTAGCTGCCAGGCTGTACAGAATTCATTCATCTTACCAAGAACCTTTTCTTGATGCTCGCCATTTCCGCTGCTTCCCCCCTTCCCCTCCCTAGCATGCTGTAGCCAGGGTTTGTCATCACCACTGGCAGCACCAAGCCTTTCACATGCCAGGCAAGTGCCCTACCCCTAGTCCTGGCTTGTCTTTGTTCATCCTTTATTCTAACTGCCATCCTCTAAGGGTCTTGGGACATGGCTCGATGCCCTAGAATGTTCAAGGTCCTTAAGGCTGGATGCCCAGAACTGAAAAAAACAATTCTGAATGCCTGCCAGGCCCCACTACTGCCTTGCTACTCAGTTCACTTCTTCACAGGTCTCAATGCATTTTGGATAGTTCTCTCCTTTCTTCCTTGCTCATTGCTGGTTCCATCATCCCTGGGTTAGCTCCCTGAGGGCTGGGAACACAACCATCTTATTCCTGTGACTGCCTCGCTCCCTATGTTCCTGATCTAAGTAGGGGAATAGCAGAGGTTGGCTCATATCTATTACTAATGGATAGAGGGCCTACAAGCTTCTACAATGAAGTCAGCTTCAGCTGCTGTGCTTGGGCATTGCTGCATGCCCTGCCTAGAATGGGAATCAGTGACTATTCCTATTTCAGCTGGTCACTAAACCGTACCTGTTACAATCTTGATGTTCTTACTTGTAACTTACTCTTGAGATTGCCCCACCACACGCACGCACGCACGCACGCACGCACGCACGCGCGCGCGTCTATACCTGGTTGTATGCAGACTTGGTGCTTCCTTGGACCTCAGGGCTTACATAGAGAGCAGTGCCAACCATGCCAGTTAAATTGCCTGTGGAAGAAAACAGAAGGAGAGCAGTCCAGCCATGGACTATTATTGTTGTTGCTGTTTCTCAGTGCTAAGTATTGAACCCAGGGCCTTGTGCATGCCAGGTGAGTGGCAGTGAGCTATATCCCCAGCTCTAGGTAAAGAAAACTGAAAATCAAAGGGCTCCCCCCCCCCGCCCCACCTCACAGTTATTTGTATGTGTGTGTGGGCGTGTGTGTGCTGTGGCATGTCTGTGAGGGTCAGAGGACAACTTGTGGGAGTTTGTTGTATCCTTCCACCATGTAGGCTCCAGCAGTTGAACTCAGGTCCTCAGGCTTGGTGGCAAGCACCTTTACCTGCTGAGCCATCTCGATGGCCCAAAACAAAAGAGCTTCTTAAAAGCGAAGCCTGGTCTGTGTCCTGTGTGCAGTACTCACCAGGAGGAAACGTGAGCACTACACAGACGACTGATCTAAGCCCTAGATTGCCTGGCACTGCCTCACACAAGGGTGTCTGCTTACACAGGAATGGAGGATTAGCTAGGACCCCAGATAGGCAGGACTTGAGGGAACCCTATAGGACCAACTGGGGTTGGTCAAAACACAGCTTTGGGCCCTAGGAGACATTACTCTACTAATCAAAGCTCTTACGTTTCTGAAGAACAACTAACCTAGTGAAAAAGAAAAAAAAAATACTTAAACTTCCATAAAAACTATTCAAAAAATAATTTCAATTTGCTTCAGAATAAAGTCTTTAAAGTAAAAGGCGGATTCCAGGCTGAGAAGTTTTATGGTCTGCTTTTGAACACATGGATAAAAGAGGCTTTACCTGAAGGGTCTGACTTGATCATGTGATCGCCTGCCTGGTCGTCCTGTTTACCATCAGCCTAAAACACAATCATACAGATTAACCGTTAGAGCCCTCAGTGGGAATGGCTCATCTGTCTCTAAATGAAGACTGAAATGCATGTTAATGAATGTCAGAATTGTTATCACCATGCTTGTTTGTTTGTTTGTTTGTTTTGAGGAGGGTTTCTCTGTGTAGCCCTAGACCAGGCTAGTCTCGAACTCTGAGATCCACCTGCTTCCCAGGCGGACAATGTCTGTCCAGGGCAGAGTCTCACTTTTTTTTTTTTTTTTTTTTTTTTTTTGCAAACCAACTAAAAGTTCTTCAGATGAAAAGCATCTTGTCAAATGCTCAGCAAGGGAGCCTAAAATATCAAATTATTTCATAGAGTATTGCATGCCTTCCACCTAAATATTGCTCATAAACCAATAGCTTCAAAGCCTAAGAGACACTTGCAGCTTGTCCCTTCAGACCTGCCTTCCAGCGGAAGGTGACACAGCAGGGCACAGAAGACTCACTACCCCATCGCTTTATTTCCAGGATTATTAAAACTCCTAGGTCATTTTCAGGCAAAGCCTAATTTTGAAAATACTCACAGTGAAGGCTAGATGGTCTGTCGCCAAACCAAAATCACCTATTTTCACATGGTCATCAGAATCCAAAAAAATGTTGACAGGCTTCAGATCCCGATGAATCATTCCCTGTTGGAAGACAACGAAGAATCCAACAGTTGCTTCCCACACAGAGTTTAACATTTCACGTGTTTCCTAATTTAAAATGATGACAACTGGAAGAGGTCCTCTCCTGTGGTCCACCTGGTCCTAGATGTCTGGTCTCTGGAATGTCCTCTGCGATCCTGTGACCTCCCCACTGGTGGTCCTAAGCAGGTCCACACATGCTGCACCACAAAAGCCAGCTCTGGACAGGCCCACACTACCTTCATTCCCTCTCCGTTATGACTTCTCCTGCCTAGGGCACTTTCATACTTCTCCACGCATTCTAATTGCACCAGCATTTCCCCATTCTACCTCCTTCAGGAGCCTTGCAGGTTATTCTAACACCAACTCCTGGGAGGAGCTCAGTGATGATGTCACAGGAATCCTGTTTTCTTTCTCCTCCTCCTACGGGCTTATCATGCTCCCTCTTTCACTTGGAAGATGCTAAATGTAATAAGAACTCTTCCTTTTACTATGATACAAAGGATGTGAGCTGTCAGGATCCAGTTCTTGCTGCCATGCCTCCCCCCTCCATCATGGACTCTCATCCCTCTGGAACTATAAGACCAAATTAATTCCTTCTTCTTTAAGTTACCTTGGTCATGCTGTCTTATCACAGCAACAGAAAAATAACTAACACAGGCTATACAGTCTCTACTGCCTGCATCTACTCAAATCTGCTGTTATGGTAAAATACAGACATAGGTAAGTGAGCATGCCTTTGTTCCAATAAAACTTTATTGATAGACAATGAAATTTCAATTTCATGTCATGATATATCCTTTTTTTTTTTTTTAAACAGCTACAGCCACTTAAAAACATAAAAGCTATTCTTAGTTCACAGGCCATATAAGAACAGGTGTGAGTTAGATTTGACCCAGGGGCCATCTTCAGTGTTTTCTACAGGAGTTGACACTCGGTACTGTCCCTATCTTTTGGCCTTTGGTTCTATTACCTACAAAAATATATTATTGCATGCCAGTGAGGTGGCTCAACAGGCAAAGGTCCTTTCTACCAAGCTGATGGCCTGAGTTTGATCCCTGGAATTCACATGTTAAAAGGAAAGAAAATTGTCCTCTGGCCTCCATGTGTGCACAGTGGCATTTACTGGCCCACACACATACACACAAATAAACAAATACATGTAAATAAATGTAAAAGATTATCTCCTCATACTCATAGTTTCCTTCCTTGTTTTGTTTTATATGCTCATTTTCTTCACTTTCCTATTTGAGTTTTAATATAAGTTTATATAAATAGGGGCTGGGGAGACTGATCAGTAGGAAAAATGTTTTCTGTGCAAGCATGAGGACCCAAGTTCAGATACTCAATATCCACATAAAAGCTGGGTACAAAGGGTGGTAGACAAGCAGCCCCTGAAAGCTGGTTGGCTAGCTAGTTTAGTTTAATTGGCAAGTTTCATGTTCAGCAAGAGACCTTGTCAAAAACAAGGGGGGGGGGTTAGTAATAGAGGACACCTGTCTTATTTGTCTTATTTACTTTTTTATTTTGTGACAAGACACCATGACCTAGGCTTACAGAAGGAGGAGTTTATTTGGGTTTAAAGTTTCAGAGGGTGAGTCCATGACAATCACAGTGGGGAGCATGGCAGCAGGAGGCCATAGTACTGGAACAGTAGCTGAGAGCTTATATCCTGCTCTACAAACTCTGAGGCAGAGAGAGCTGACTGGGAATGGAGACCAAATATTCAAATATATGAGCCTATGGGGGCTGTTTTCATTCAACCTACCCTGTGCTGACTTCCGGCATCCATAAGCACATTCCAAAGGGAGTTTCTCCCTAATCTCCACAACACATGCACAGATATTCACTCAACACACATACACAATTCATGTAAATAGAAGTTACATGGACATGGGATGTAATAAAGCTTACCTTCTCATGGATGTAAGCTAATCCATCCAGAATCTCTCGAAAAAGCCTCCAAAGCCTGATGGTGTCTTGGTACAGTCCCTGGTCAATGGTGTCCCGCAGAGTGCTCTTTTCACAGTACTCCATCTACAGGAAAAGCGGAAGCAGGCAGGACCCGTACACCAAAGGTTCAAATCAGGAGGATAACTGGAATCAATGCAATCTTGTAAAACTTGTAATGGGTTTTAAGCAGTTTTAGAAAGAATTGTCTTTTTATTATGCTGAAAAATAAAACAAACTTAAAAGTATAAGAAACCATCTTGAGTAGGGAATGTAGCTCGGTGGTAGAGTGCAGCACATTCTAAGCATACATGAAACTTGGATTCAATCCCAAGTACCCCAAATACTTGCTAAGACTCCTAGGAGCAAATATGTGTTTAATGATGCTATCAATAACTAATAGTATTGAAGAACACATTGGGACAAATATATATAGTATTTGCTGCTAATATAACCTTCTCCCCCAGGGAGATTGAACCCAGGACCTCTTGCATGTGAGACAATTGGTCTACTTCTGAGCTATACTCCTAGCTCCTACTTTAAAAATTACATACATACATACATACATACATACATACATACATACATACATACAAACAAACATACGGGACTAGAGAGATGGCCAGCAGTTAAGTGCATTGCTGTTCTTCCAGAAGACCCAGGTTCAATTCTCAGCACCCCCATGGCAGCTCACAACTATCTGTAACTCCAGTCTCACACAGACATACATGTAGGCAAAACACCAATGTATATAAACAAACAAACAAATATATATAGCTGCTTATTTTAAAAAGGTTTTACTTGTTTAAAATCCTTGTCACAAATATGAAAATTGATATTGCAATAAAATGTTATTACTTTATAAGATTGCATCCAATCTCAAATTTCCAGGAATAGCTAACTAGCCTAATGATGTCCTTGGCTTTATTTGTATACTGAAAGACCCCCTGGAAGCTCAGGCCCCCAGGATCTCAGCCCAGGACCTCAACCACCTTTCAAATCACCAGGTGGAGTCGAAAACTTGATGCAAACAGCAAGAGCTTTTATTGCAGTTGTTTAACGAGCTAACCTGATGTTAGCTCGGGCCATTCATCCATCCACCACGGCGGATGGCTGGGAAAGACGCTGAGAAGCCACGGCATAGAGATCTTATAGGGCAGTAAGGGGAGTGTCTAGGGGTATGCTCAGGCTCAGGATTGGTGTGACTCCAGGCTTGCCCTGTGTTGATTGGTCAACTGGTTGTTGTGGCTCATAGGCCCTCCCACGATTGCTATGCTCTGCGCATCATTATTGTGCACTTGTCCATAAAGCACACCCAGAGCCGTAAAGCATAGCGCCACCAGCTAACTTCTGATTGGTTCCTTGCCAGGAGGCCGGCATCTGACCTCCCAGTGACCAAGGCAAGGCCAGGCAAGCACGTGCTAGGCTGTTAAGGCTGCCGAAATGGGGAGCTGGTCCCTTCAATACAAATAACAAATCCTCTTTGAATCCAGAGAACATTATACCTATGGAAACATTCAGGCAGGGGCTCTGTCTTACTCCTCCTTGGGTGTGCTGAGAGAGAGAACAGTGTAGCACCGTTTAAGACTTAGGTTGATGTGTGAAACTAGCTTCTGGTTTGTGCCAGGGCCAGAATGGGGAACTCCTCATGCTGAAGTGTTGCACCGTTTTACCGGTCAGCCTCATCTTCTCATGGGCAGCCACTGCTGGCACATTCCAAGTCATCCTCCAGGCCTCATTCAGGCCTCCTGAGCTCCCATGAGTCCCACCTACTTCACGGGTGTGTTTAGAGAACGGACACATGGGGACAGTTAAGGCACACCCTCGCTTGCATTTATGGGAGTTGGCACTTCCTCTTGTTCAGTTGTAAGAAGGATCAGATAATTAAGTTGTGGACAAGCGCAATGACTCGAAGAGCATAGCAACCACCCTGGGAAGGCCTATGGGCCATAACAACCAGTTGACCAATCAACACAGGGCAAACCCTCCAAGCCTGGAGCCACACCAATCCTGAGGCTGTGCGTACCCCTAGACACTCCCCTCATGCTGCCCTACAAGATCTGTATCCAGCCGCTTTGAACTGTCTTTGCTAGCCATCCGCCATGGC